CTGAAGAGAAGCTACCAATTCTTATACCAATATGGAAATACATTGACCAATCAAAAGAAAATCAAAATGAACAAAAGAAAACATTGCTTCAATTTATCTATGAAAATCCTACTTTTAATTCAAATTATTTTAAAGATGAAGAACGAAAAGTATTATCATCTTTGATTGTACAATCATTAATACAAGGAAATGTCCTAGTTATTTTCGAAGGATTAGACGAAGTTCCTGCTCATATAGATCGATCTGATTTAATGAAAGAAATAAATGATTTATTAGAACGAGGAATAGATTATGATGCGAAACTTGACAAACTTTCTTACTCAATTTATGAGCAAAAGGAAATAAATAGTACTCAAGATCCCGCTATTGGCAACCGATTTATTGTAACAAGTCGTATTGAAGGAAATTATTTTGAACCAATAAATTATTATGTTCCAAGATTAACTATTGAGGATATGTCTAATGAAGCTCTCAAATTATTTTGTAGCTCGTATATGGAATGTATTAAAGACATTTCTATTAAAAGTGGTAGACATGTAAAAGAATACAAGCATGATCAATTATATAATGAAATAACGAAAAATAAAGATATTTTTCAATTAGCAATTAATCCACAATTGGCTAGTGTGATAGCTGCTATTTATAATCAATATGAAGATAAATTACCAGACAAACGAATTGATTTGTACGAAAAAGCAATAGAAAAGATGATTGAAAGATTAGTAACTTCTTCGTATAGTTCTCCAACAAGTTACATAAGTAAAGAGCTTGGACTGAACACTACTACATTATGGTCAATAATGCAAGAAATAGCCGAATATTTACATAGTAAAGTGGAAGGACTAGGAGAGAATATTTTAAGAGAAATAATAAGAAAATCTCTAGTAGATTATCAGAAACAGTCACCCAAAAACTCTGAAATAAATGTTGATGATTCGATCTCAAAACTTGTTGACATTTTAAAATATCAAGCAGGTTTATTGAATGAATTTGGTCACAATAGTTTTCGATTCATACATCGTACTTTTCAAGAATACCTTGCAGCTAAAAGCATTATCTACTTTAATGGAACAGAACGAAATGAAGATGTTATCTATAAAAATATTATAGATAAAATTGCTAATCCAAATTGGAGAGTTCCTCTTAGTATGACATTTGGCTTATTAAGTAAATCAACTCAATATAGCGAATTATTTAAAAATATTATTACAAGATTGTTCAACGATGAACAAGTTTCATCTAATACACAATTTTCTACGTCCCTAATGCCATATGTCATTATTGATTCATTAAACGATATGTATTTTTCATCTAAAGATGCCGAATGTGAATTGATTCGAAGATTGGCAGAATTCCTATTATTTGATTATAAAAATATGTCTGGTTTTTCTAGATTGAAAGAACATCAAGAACTAATTCAATCATATTTCTTGAAATTGAAAACAGGTTATGAAAATTTGATTGTTGAATGGTTTATTGAAAAGATTAATAAAGAAGAAAATATAGCTCCATGTGCCAACATCATTTATCAACTTAAATGGTATAATCCGAAATTTCATGAAACATTTTTACAAAATTTGCATAATGATTCCGTGATTTGGAACTGGCCAGTCGATTCAATCTTACGATTTTATTCAGACGATATTCAAGATGAATCCGTTTTAACACAATTAAAATTCAAAACTACATTAAATAAAAATCCCGAAATTATTCAACATATAACAAAGAACAGTGATTGGTTATGTGTAATTGTAGCTCTTTATGGAGGATATAAAAATTACAATACTCCAATGCGTATTACAGAATTTTTTGAAATAGCTCAATTTCTTGAATTAAGTAATAGCCAAATGGCGCCATTTATCTTTTATTATCAAGAAGTATGGGGTAGAGATGATCCAGCCATGAGTATGGCTGTGCATCTTGATACAGCTGTACCTAAAGGACGCTGGAATGAAAAGCCAATATTTGATAAGAATGAAATCTACAAAGAATCATTTCTGACAATAATGATTCTCGAATTACTCACTGAAGAAAAAACTACAATAGACTTAATGGAAAAATTGAAAAAGCAAGTAAATAGTCAACAACTATCCAAAGGTGAAAAGACGGACACATTAATCGCATTAATCGCTTTAGGAGATTTTGATTTTGTAAGTGCTGTTATAAAAAAAAGAGAAGAAACATTTATAAGAAGCTGTGAAAACAGAATAGAACAATTACTTTGTACTTTAAAGGATCCTATTGCAAGATGTTCCTCACAAATTATGAAATATTTACTTGCGGCTTATAATAGTATGAAAGTGAAACAATTCAAGTACGGTATTAATTTTTCGGATTATTGCAAAATACATTTATCTTTAATAGCCAGTTGTGGAGGATTACCAATTGACACTAAGATGCTAGCTGAAGCACTGGATAATGTTGAACATAAGTGTAATTTGTATGCAGAATATTTTGCCTTTAAATTCACTGGCTATGATGATACAAGACATGATGTTACAAAGGTATTAACTACAGATATTCCTTCAAGCGGAACTGATGAAGTCATAAAGTCATTTTTAAAAATTAGTGATACTGTTCAGATTTATAGACCAGTTCGAAGATATCTGTGGCCTACAGATATATTTCTTTTTAAATTGAATAACGAAGATGATCCACCAATAGCATTTCTCCATTGTTTAGAGAATATCCATAGAGATATAGCATTCACAGTAGATGGCATTACTGATTTTTTATTTAAGCAAGGATATTTCGATAAAAATCCCGAATTGATTCCATTAGTTGTATTATTAAGCTTCGGAAATATGTCAAAAGACTCAGACTATCGTCAGATTTGTGATCGTTTGCTTCCTGAATTATCTAATAAGACAAATATCAAAGAATTTTTACTTGAAAAAATTCAGTCAATGCGCAATTTCTACTATAAATCGAGAGCATTAAGTCAGTTAGCACAATTCTATGATGAGAAAAGTGATGAACTTTTGAATGAATCTTTCAAAGTAACAAAAACTATTCAGGAGCCAGTTTTAAAGTTTCAAGTTTTGGAAAATATTTTTAGCATTGCTCATTACAAGGAAGTTAAGCATAAATTGTTCATCAAGGAAATACTCAACGAGCTAGTTTTGTCATGTGACAGTATCGACGACCATTATGATCGAGTTATTGCATCGATAAGATTATCATTTTATGGATCAGGAGATTTTCGAAAAATATATTTAGCAAATGCTATAGAAACACTTGTTAAGATGGATGAAGATGATGAAAAAATTAAATTAATTATTAAATTAAAATCATTAATTACTATTTACGATGATCTTCAAATCAGCCTGAATGGAATTATAGAGAATCTGAAAAATAAAACACATAATTATTTTATTAATTCTTACTATGGAAGAATATTATATGCTGAAAAATTAAATGTTGATACTTTGCACTTAAGTTTGCTCATAAGTGAAAAGTTGGGAAATGATAATGATAACGAACAAAATGAAGATGTTTCCAATTCTACTGAAATTCAAGCTCTATTTATGCTCTTTGCACAATTGAATGATATTAAATTAACACTTGGTAAAACAGACAGCTTAAATCAGTTATGGATTAATCTTTTTAAAGATACCGATAACCAATCAAATACTGAAAAGATATTAAAAATTGCTTTAGATACTGAATTATTTTTGACACCACAAGTAGCAATTATTATTGATGAATTGGTACGAAACGGAAAAGAAGATCGTATCTCAATTCTTTTTCCATATATAATGAAACCATCAAACGAAGTATTACCCATTGTTCATAGGTGGTTTACCGATTATAATAACAATCAAATCAAAAAGTTAGCAGCTCTTTTACTTACAGAAGCAAAACATGTTTTTGAAGCTGCAATTGATACAATTACAGATTTACTAAAAAGTGATAATGATCAAATGAGATATAGAGCTCAAAGAATTTTTCAACATCCAGAACGGGATGTGAAGAAACCCAGTAAGAGAATATCTGTAATTGGAGAAAAAACATTAATGAAAATTCTCCAAAAGAGATCGACGAAAGAACATCTTCCAAGAGTTCAAACCTATCTTAAGAGCTTCTTCTACGACTTACTTTGGGATGATCCCAAAGTATTTCAAAACCTATATGAAAATGTAACAAAATTGAGAGAAAGAAACTCTGCTTGCGGAAGAAGAATGGGTTTTTTTAATAATATTAACTTTATAAATAATGATACTTGGAATTCAATAATGCAAACATTACAATCACCGTCTCATCCATCTTATGTTGAAGAATTATTTCATTCAACTATGTATTTAATGTCCCTTGGTCAAATTCCAAGAGAAAATTGGAATGAATTTGCGAAAGTGCTATCAGTTACAGATACAAGTCAATTTAAAGAAAAATTATATTTTGTACGTAAAGATGTAAGAATAATGGAATTTATTCTTAATGAAGTTTGTGGTTCGACGAATATGAGTGATGAAACGTATTTTGAAATTCTCGAACTAAAATTAATCACTCAAACAGCCGTGAAAATTGAAGATCTTTTACAAAGCGATTATGCGGTAATTAATAATATTGGTAGTTGTAATTTTTATCTTTCAACAGAGAATCTGAACCAAGCAGTATTAGATATGTTAAATGAATTTTCTATAAACATTGATATAATGGGAAATTTAATTAAATGGTTAATACAAAAAATGAAAAGTTTTAAAGGTTTTGATGATACATTATTTTCAATGCTCTTGTGTGCAGATCTGTTATCACTGGTCTCTGCGTGTGCTCAAAAAGAAGATTATTTGTATCGAAAAATTACAAATTCTCAAGATTTCGATAAAGCACAAATGATCAAACTTTTGGAAAAAATTCTTAATAATCATCCGTATTATCCAGCAAGAGGCAGTTCTTTTATTTTACTTTCAGCAATGGATAACTCTGATCACAAAGTAATCATAAATGCGATGAATGCATTATTCGATGAAAATGTTGTGAAAGAATATTCTGCAATTGGAATTCCGCTTATACATTTATCACCAAATGAATTTATCGATGATTTATTGAAATCTTTAAAAAATGAAAGTGCTATAAAAGCTTACGAAATATTAAAGATTTTGACACAATATGCTTTGAATGAGAAAATTGATGCAAATACTAAATCAAAGATAATAAATTACTTAGCAAAAGAGATTGGTGAATTAAAATCGAAAAAGCCTATTAGTTATTATTATACAGATATAAAAATTCCTTTTACGACTACATTGGAAAACGAATTATATAAAACATGGATTAAAATACAAGGACTCTCTGGTAAAACACAATATTATACGAACGTTGAAGCGTCAAAAGAATAATATTACTCTACTTCAAATAACGATCTGCCTTAAGGAATTGTTACTATTATTTTATTGACTATCATTTTTCACCGTTTTCTTTCTTATAATAAATATTCACTGTACTTTTAGGTTCTAGATCACTGGATTCCACCATTTACTCCTTATTCTAACATCAGTCTATTGCAAATTACGATAAAACATAATCATATTCATTATGCTCATTAAGTACCTCAACACTTGTTTCGTGCAATTAATGCGATTAATGAGATTAATGTGTCCGTTTTCTCATCTTTGGATAATTGTTGACTATTAAAAAAATTGGCCTACGTTGAGAACAGTATACACCGTTTTTCCTGTTTTTTTCAGTTTTTAGCCAAATAAAGTATACGTCTGTTGAGCCCTCAATCTGTTTGGAATTGATGGAACAATCGTTTCTAAATATATATAAAGTATTATTGCTATTATAAACTGATTTTTAGGGTTGAAAGACAGTGATTTCTGAGCAAAGGTAAAAAAATTACCTTTGTCAGAGAGGCAGTTTTTTCATTCAAATCACATTTTTATGCAAAACAAACCTTATATTCGTGATCTGGGTGGCCGATAACCTATATCTAGATGAAGTTACAGTGAAAAACAAAAAAAGAAAATTTTTCTACCTGGCGGGTACCACGGCAAAAGAAAATAAAAAGTTATTGTTTTTCAAAAAAAAATATACCGTTTTGTTCAGAATTTAATGCTGATTCTAACCATATAGTTTTTTTTCCTAAATGTTTTGGGCGAAAAAATGACCTTACCGCCACTTGTCCTTTTCATAAAGCTGTCTTGTAGAAATGAGAGCGGACATTAGAGGCATGAAAACAGAGCTTTTACGATGGTATATTGTGGGGAAAAGAAAACAGTAATTTTGCGAAACTCGTACCTGAACTGGTTTACGGCGAGAGGACATAGTAAGTAATAATACGAGATCAGATAGATATTGTTAGTTCATGAATTACAATGATTTTTTTTTCAATTTTAAGCTGTTACTTTTACGAACTCGATAATTTGAGTAATGTGGAATCATATTACATCAAAAGAAATAGCTATTATTCTCTAATCTCGCCCCAAAAACTTGTTCGTCTACATTAAAACTTTTTTGTCTTTCGAAGCTGGCATTGAAGAGGAGTTATGATACAAACGCATATAAAAAGTTTTAAAATCAAAGAAAACTGTTTTTCACGAGAAGAGCGACTGGACAGTCGAGAGTTTTTCCTTTGCACAAAAGCCATGCTGCATGACCTATTGAGCTTCCTAAAGTAAGAGTCCACTAATCACAATGTAGTAATACAGAGTAATGTAAAAACTTCCGTTAATCACACTATTAGAAAATACCGTTCACAAAAAAAGTGATGTCCGCTAGTACATACTTAGGGCAATCCAAAAGTAGTGAGGGAGGTACTTTATTTTCTGATAGAAAGCGTCAAAAAAATTTCTTTTTCTATGAACAGATAGAGCGTCTTTCGCTCTACTTTTGTATGCTATTTGATCACTATTCAGCTAATATCATAATAATAAAATTTCGATAAGATCTGTTTCTTTCACATATGTGCTGGTACCATGAATGCTCGTGAGTATGTTTTGAATAACGTTTGATAGCAACAAGATAGAGAACAGCGGTTTTCACCGTTCGAAAGAAAAAATGAAGACGCATCAAAATGTATATTACTGATTTTTTTAATATGATTTCCGAAGTGTTTTTATTCAATTTTCTAACCGTCGGAAAAAATTTTGTTCATGAAAAAAAGCAAAAAGCAAAAAGTTGACAGAAAATCGTAGTAGAGGTTCGTCTAAAATACGTACTATCCCCAAATAATTAAATTTAAACATCGGAGTCTTTCGCAGTTCGTAGATCTTCGATTAGCGGTTTGAATGTGAGCCTGATTATTGAAAATTCACTGAAAACAATTTACAGGATAGATTTGTCCTTTGGTCAACTAAAACCCTTGCAAAAACCAGGTTAGAAAAATCAGTAACATATGGTTCGATGCGTCTTCATTTTTTCTTTCGAACGGTGAAAACCGCAGTTCTCTATCTTGTTGCTATCAAAAGTTATTCAAAAAATACTCACGAGCATTCATGTTCATGCTACCAGCACATATGCGAAAGAAACAGATCTTATCGAAATTTTATTATTATAATATTAGTTGAATATTGATCAAATAGCATAGAAAAATAGAGCGACAGACGCTCTATCTGTTCATAGAAAAAGAAATTTTTTTGAAGCTTTCTATCAGAAAATAAAGTACCTCCCTCACTACTTTTGGATTGTCCTAAGTATTTCATCTTTTTAATAGTTTAAGAATGAATGTTATTTTCAACCGTTATTTGATTATCTCACATTTCATTAGCAAGAAAAAACAGCTCATAATTCTGACGTCTTTAGTTCTATAGTACTTATAGTAATTATTGTTTCAGCCAGTGTTTTTCATGATATCAATTTCTGTTGAATTTTCCATCATAATGGCTAATAGCATTGGTAACACTTTTGGAATAGCACGTGGTGTTTTTACTTGTGCAGTATGAGCACCTAACAACATTTGAGCAAAAATATCGAGAAAAAATGTTCGTTATTGAATCACGTAATTAAACAACTCTTACCGTTCTTCAATTTCAAAAATGCTCCAGTTTTATATATACGTATTTGTATTGGTTGCAATTTAGCTGATTGACGATATATTCCATAATACAAATTATTTTCTACTAAATACGTTTCGATTAGTGTTAAAATAATATTTCATCTAATCTGTCGTCATTATTTGTTGATGATTTTAGTTCTATGAATAATGTATGATAAAATAGATTATTATCATTGGATGATGTTGCACAAAAAACAACCAGAATAAAATTCGTTTTGGTTTATCGATTCAGTTCTCTAATTCCACGTTGTGCAGCATCAAGAACCTGTTGCTCAGTTACTTTTTCACTAAAATGATTTAGTATTGTTGCACGACGAACACATAATTCAAATCGAGGCAATTGGCCAGTTTCAAAGTCAACTATTTTGATTAGGGATGCAACAGTACCGGTAAACTGTCCTTAACAGTTCACCAGTTCACGGTACCGGTTCCTTAACGGTTCACCAGTTCACGGTACCGGTTCCTTAACGGTTCACCAGTTCACGGTACCGGTTCCTTAACAGTTCACCAGTTCACCGTACCGGTTCCTTAACGGTTCACCAGTTCACGGTACCGGTTCCTTAACGGTTCACCAGTTCACGGTACCGGTTCCTTAACGGTTCACCAGTTCACGGTACCGGTTCCTTAACGGTTCACCAGTTCACGGTACCGGTTCCTTAACAGTTCACCAGTTCACCGTACCGGTTCCTTAAC